CGAGGCCTCCAGTTTGGTTGGGCTTGGGTTTAGGGGTTTGGGGTTTAGGGTTTAGGGTTTAGGGTTTAGGGTTTAGGGTTTAGGGTTTAGGGTTTAGGGGTTTAGGGTTTAGGGTTTACTTTAGTTGGGCTTGGGCTCGACCTGCGGCCTAAAGGACCTACCTTTTGAAGGAACTTTTTTTTTGGCTTGGGCTCTACCGGTGGCCTAGAAGACCTAGGAGCCATAAAAAGGGATGTCTTTTCGGCCACAGGTAGGGTTTAGGGTTTCCTGTAGTTATTTTTTTAGGGTTCAGGGTTCAGGGCTTAGGGTTTAGGGTTCAGGGTTTAGGGTTTAGGGATTAGGGTTTAGGGTTTAGGTTCCTTCCATGGCTCCGATAGTTTCAGGCCCAAGGGGTTCAGGGTTTGCAGGTTTCGGGACCTCTCGAAATTCCCGCAAGGGCTCTTAGTTTTGTTTGGCAAGGGGTTCTACAGGTGCAAGAGCTCTCTACAGGGGTTCTCTGAGGCCCCAAGAGCTCGACCAATAGAGCTTTTTGTTCAGGACTCCTGTTGCAGGGATTGAGGGTTCAGGGGTTGAGGGTTTGGGGGTGTAGGGTTTTTACCGGCTCAGGTTTGGGGTTTGGGAGTTTTGGTTTTGAGTGCTTTGGGGGTTCAGGGTTCAAGACTCGTCGGGGCAAGATCGACGAAGGACCGCGGGGAAGCATCCGGCGAGGAGTGTAAGCCCAGTTTCAGTTCTTGGTGGGGTTGTGCTTCCCCTTTCTGAAAGCCGTCGTGTAGATTGCATGATTTGTTCTCGCGTCCACGGAATGTGCGTGAACCCGCATATGCTTTATAAAAAACACCCTGTGCTTCCAGGCCAAAACCCTACAACTTGGGATCGACCCGAAACCCTAAACCCTAAACCCTAAACCGATCGCCTGTGGCATGAAGATCTCACTTCGAAGGCGTACTATTGATGCTGTGCAGCTGCAGCCGTTCTGAGTGAACAGTCTTGCAAGCAACAGTCCCTCTCACCCCAAAACATTTGTAAGTGAAGGGGCCCCAACTAATGTAGACCCTTCTTGAAAAGGTAGCCCCGATTTAGATTTCAAAACCCCTTAAAGCCTGAATGACAAACTTTCAAACACTAACCCCTAAACCCTAAACTCCTAAGCCCTAAATCCTGAACCCCCAACCCTCAAACGTTAACCCCTAAACCTTAAACTCCTAAACCCTAAATTCGAAACCCTGAACCCCAAACCCTCAAACATTAACCCCTAAAGAGCCCTAAACTCCTAAGCTCCTAAACCCCAAATCCTAAACCCTGAACCCACGACTGTCAAACACAAAACCCTAAAACCCTAAGAACATTGGCCCCTAAGGCCCCTACACAGTCTGCTCCAGCTTCGGCGCAGCTCCTGGACATCTTGCCTCGACCGGGTTGCCCGTCCCAGCGTTTGGGAGTTCAAGGGGTTTAGGGGTTGGGGGTTTAGGGTTTAGGGTTTAGGGTTTGGGGTTTAGGATTTAGGATTTAGGGTTTAGGGCGTAGGGTTTAGGATTTGGGGGTTGAGGGGGATGCAAGGCTTATGGTATCAGCTTTTTGATATAACCGTCGCCTTTTTGAGTTTATTCCACGGTGCTCGCCACTGTCTTCAGTCGAGGTGCAAGTGGGCTGCATAAAGCTCTAGTCATACCTGCACATGATACCCAAGCCACAGAAGTTTCAATTGTAGGGGTCTAAATAATTACCAATACCGTTTTGGGGGTGCCTTGTTATAATTATAGTATAATGGGTCCCAATACCCTGTTCTAATTGTTAATGCCCCTATGTTAAACACATTGACAATTCCAAGGCCCAAGGTGTTCTCTACACCTTAAACTCTACTAACCCCTCGACCAAAAAGACCCCAGGTGTTCTCTCTGTCCCTAAACCCTAGACCAAAAAAGCACCCTAGGCCGAAAAGAATTTCTTTCCCTATAAACCTTAATCTCTAAACCAAACAAAAGCGCTCGACCATATAGACCCCAGGTGTTCTCTCTGTCCCTAAACCCTAAACCAAAAAACACCCTAGGCCAAGGTGTTCTCTCTGTCCCAAAACCCCAAAACCAAAAAAAGCATCCTAGGCCGAAAAGACCCAAGGTGTTCTCTCTTTCCCTAAACCCTAAACCAAAACAAGCACCCTAGGCCGAAAAGACCCAAGGTGTTCTCTCTGTCCCTAAACCTTCAACCAAAAAACACCCTAGGCCAAGGTGTTCTCTCTGTCCCCAAAACCCAAAACCCAAAAAAACCCTAGACCGTATAGACCCAAGGTGTTCTCTCTGTCCTGGGCTTCAAAGTCGTCCTTGCCACCCTAAACCCTAAACCCTAAACCCTAAACCCTAGACCCAAGGTGTTCGCTCTGTCCTGGGCTTCAAAGTCGTCCTTGCCAGCTCGGCGGGCAGCGTTTGCTTCATGCTTCAGCAGCCCCGGGTCTGCAAGGTTACACTGAGGCTTTACAAGGGTTCCTTTAAGGGTTTAGGGTTTAGGGTTTAGGGTTTAGGGTTTAGGGTGCTTTTAAGGGCCTTTAAGGGTTCTACAAGGGGAG